TAACTGACAAAAGCAGAGGGAAGTGAAGCCGGTTTGACTCTGGCAAGGTTGCAATTGCTTTCGAAGGCTGTTCCTTAATTAGTTTGCTGCAGAATGGTTGAATTGGGTCTCCTATACCTTCATATACGTAGCCTGCAGAACAGGCGGATTAGCGGGGCAGTGAGCGAGACGCGATACTCGAGCGCGGATTTTTTTTGCCCCGCGCTCCGCACTCGTGTGTCGCGTTTCGCTCTAGTGTTTCTCTCTCTGCTCCGCTAATCCGCCTGTTCAGCAGGCTACATATACAGTGTATACGGTGTCTTGTTTTCAGGAAACATCATATTGTCTGCAGCCATTTAAAAATTAATTTTATTTCATTTTTATACATCTGTTTTACATAATTTATCTCCTAGTTCCTCTTGCCTCAATTCCTGCCCTTCCCGCTGAATCATGCAAAGAAATCAAGGCGAGTGAAGGAGGACAAGCGATCAGCGGCAATTATTGGTTTGATTCTATTATACCTGGGAAAGTGATTCTTGCCCACTGTGACATGGAAACAGAAGGTGAAACTATACTAATCTGATTCAGTTTAATGTGTTTTAAAATAATTTTTTTCGTTGCAATATGAAGTTATGGAAGAGAGGGCTGTTGTTGTTCTTCGTGCTGTTTCAATTTTTGTTGTTCTTATCTTGTTGTTGTAAGTGGCAAGTCTGCATGGTTTGATTCTCGATTCTACCTGAGAAAGTAATTCTTGCTCACTGCGGCATCATGAAACAATGCAAAGAAGATAAATTCACTATAACTGAATGAATAATGTTTCAGTGTACTTTTTTTCTTCATTAGTTTTCATTCATCGCAAATCGAATTACTTACCTCAAACTTTGGCCCTGGGCCTTCGGCATTGTCAAATAATTGTCCCGCTCGCCGTTGATAAATCCCGATATTTTGCTCAATCTCGTCCAATAATTCCTAATAGTTTGATGGGTAGCTTTTGGAATGATACGTCCGTATTTTAGTCATCACAGATATCGACGAATGTGTCACCGACGCTCACGACTGTCTCAAAGATTTAGCTGACTGCTCAAACACGTTGGGAACTTACACTTGTGCCTGTAAATATGGCTACTATGGAGACGGAAAGACAAGTTGCCTCCCTCTGCCAGCAGGTGGGTTAAACGTTTGATACGTTTGCCCCTAATCTTAAAATCTTGATTGTAATAGCTATTAAATGACAGATGTGAGGTGGTTGTTTGCTAGTTGTTAAAGCATTTTAAAAAAGAAACCTAGTAGTTTCATTATTTGAGTCCTACATCCATAACACAGTGTGTGCACCTTTTTCTTGAAATATATCAAACACGAGGGACAGTGTTTGAACACATTTCCAAACACCAAATGAGGAGAGTTGAAAATAGGACGCGTAGCGGAATACATTTGACGACCTTCGAGGTGTTTGGAAATGTGGTCAAAACACTATCTTGAAACTGTCTTCTCAATCGAAACAAAAACTAAGGAGAAAATGGAGAATTAAAATCGTGAAAAATCTCTGCTAAATAAGATCAGATATCCAAACACCGTCACGGTTATGGTTTCCATTTTTAAAACTGGTCGAATTATTACTGAGTTCGAGAATAACATAGCTTTATTAAGAGTTACATGGTGAGAACCTGAAAAGTATCCCAGAACCCTTGCTGGGCCCAGAAAACAAAAAAGTTCAGTCTGAACACAGTTAAATAAGACCTTCCTTGTTATTTGCACAACTTGTAACGATTAACCCTCAAATGACCTACATCTGCCATTTCTAGAATGCCTAAGCTACTCAGAACTGACCAACGCAGAGCGAAGGGTCACGTCTGCCACAGATGCCAAGCTGTGTGATGCTCATTCACTAGCTCCTGGCTGGTTTCGTTTCCAAGGAGATGCGGGTACCAGAATGCCAACTAATTGCCCATCAAAGAACAGCTGTGGTACTGATATGCCAGGCTGGTTGAATGGCGCTCATCCCACGATGGCTGAGGGTCAAGTCACCAGACAGGTGTGCTTTCACTGGTATATTAACTGTTGCCAATGGACCATTAACATTCAAGTCAGGAATTGTCATTCTTATTATGTGTACTACTTAAGTCAGACACCGACCTGTCATTTAGTCTATTGTGGCACCGACTAAAAACCTTTTTATAACCTCGTTCTCGAGGTCCTTCTTCTTGGTAGCAAGAAGGGAGACCTGTGAAGGAGGTTAATCTTTCTGTTCCCTAGCTAAAATAGGTCGCTGAAAAAGAAGGAAAAACTGATGTTACCACACGACGTTTAGCTGCAATTCAAATTTTTCAATTTTTTTTTTCTTTTCCTGTCTTACATATAATTACAAGAATTGCTTGCACCCGCAACTAGTTCCAAAACTAATCGAGGCGAGGGCTAGAGTTTATCTTAAAAAGGAGAGAAAGCTAAAAAAAAAAAATAATAAATAAATAAATAAATAAACATAGTAATAATGAGTTAATCAGATAAACTTCTCATGTAAACAACAAAACGCCGCAAGGCACAATAGCTTAGGATGTTGATCAAGTTCTGTAAAACGAAATTTCCGAAAGTAACCTTCCTTGATACGTTTTATGCATGGTCACCACTTTCCATTAGATAAAACCTGCACCATATGTGTGAAAGTACGTAAGAAAGTACTCAACATGTATAAAGAAGAAATCTTGTGGATAAGAAGTTATACCACATAAAATCGAATGAAAGCAATATAATGCAGCATTTTCATAAAGGCGAAATGCGAAACTTTGACTTAACTGTAGTATATAAACTATATAAACTATTTATCTTAAAGAGCAGCAATCACCCCTCTATTTACGTCAGAAATTTTGTACTTATACAAGGGACATTATAGTTTGTTTTTTTTTTTATAGTTTTTTTTATTTATTTATTTTTTTTATCAGTAGCCTTCTTTCCATATTTTTTTGGTATTACCTGAAGTAACTTATACCTAATATTAATATAAATCTACTAGCGTTCTATTACGCTTGTCGTTCTCTGATTGGCTAAGCTACTAACCATCTATTCTGTGATAGATAGCGAGTAGCGTAGCAGTGTGCCCTTGTTAACGAAATGACGGCCACTTCTTAATTAGATAAACTTCTCATGTAAACAACAAAACGCCGCAAGGCACAATAGCTTAGGGTGTTGATCAAGTATCGTAAAACAAAATTTCCGAAAGTAACCTTCCTTGATACGTTTTATGGTCATCTCTTTCCATTAGATAAAACCTGCACGCCCTTGTCAACTATCAAGCGATGGAAATCTCGAGCTCATAATCTAATTGTTTAATAATATTAGTTCTCGGACTGTCACTGGAGAAATGATCTGTGGAGGTCAGCAATTTTACCGTCACACTATCCATCGGAAAAGTCGTACTGGAATCTCGGGTCAGAGCAAGTTAAACTTGAAGGGCAAAAAATATTGACAAAGCCAAACCTCCTCTTTGTTATTTTCTCTGCTACCTAAAAGTGAAACAATCAGCATTACTTGTGCTAATCAGTTAAAAATAGTTATTTGCATGATCATAGATCGTTACAGAATTGTTAAGGAGAACCAAAAGATTGAGCTTATTCTTAATTAATTCTTTTGGATCAAGCTAGTTGCACGCACAAAACTAATTCTCAGTGTAAGTGTTATGCCTCGAGGTCCTTATCTTTTCCGGGAAACTTTCCTTTTCACGACTATGTTTCTTTCTTTTCTTTTTTTTTTTTTTTTTTTTCTTCACGCGATTATATTTCGTTTGTTATCGCTGGGATATTCTTGAATATGGTGGCTTGCTTAGAAATATAACAAACAGCACTGTTAAGCTACCATCTTTCTTTTTTTAGCTGCCATTTATGTTTATTTAGCTATCATCTACTTCTGTTTATGCATGTGCAAAATAAATAAAAGCATAAAATAAATAAGAGCATTCTCTTCAGCTGTCTCTTTTGTCATAAACAAGGGCGAAGGTTGGATATTTACTCAGGGAGTACCACGCATGCGTCTAAGAGAGATGCCTAATGACTCTATTACGTGGAATGCCGGTGGCAGCACGCGTCGAAGTTTCGGTCAAGTTTCTTTTTCCCTCCGAAGTCACAAATTGACACTTCTTTAAAGATGCCTCGATACAGTTTTCTCTGGACCATACCAAGCATTTTATGACGTCACGTCAAAACGCTCTACCTAGCGGGCATACAGCAGTTATATCCTAAAGGTTAATGAATACTTATAGGATTGACATGTTGATTAATTTCCACTTCTCCCTCGCACGCTAACGAACAGCTGTGGTGTTCCAGGGATTCAGGAACTCAAATGAATAATTTATTTCCATTCATTCCTTTTAGGATCCTTTTTACACATGAAAAAGTGTCCTATTTACATTCGGGAATTTTTTACTATATTATTTCAAGTTGTAGGCAAGCACCATTAATAGTTTCAACGCGGAGACAGAAGCAACATTACAAGAGATTGCCGCCATTCTTAACAAGAAAAAATTCAGGTAACGTTTGCCGATTCAATATTTTCTTAGGCCTGGTGTAAGAAAGAGCGATTAGTCGCCATATGACGAGGCGAAATTGGAAATATTTAATTATGTCACTTATGAGTAAATTTATTCTTGGAAGCAGATAAAAAAAGAAGAAAAGTATCATGTCATAGTCGTGTAGTCTCTTACAGAGATCATGATGAAAATAATGTTTCAAAACACTGATCTACACAATACAATTTGAGTGTCACACAGTAAGCAGTAACCTTTTCCCTGTTTTTACAGTTGTTTTCTTTTTTCCAAGAATTAAGTTTTATGATTTACACCAAAGAACCGAAGGTTAGGTAATGCACATTGCGTGTATCTTAAGGGAGCTTAACATAACATAACATTAACATTCTCGAGGCGATGCCTCTGAACCGCATATAACTAGAGATTTACCACTGCCTTCTGGAGCAATGATTTATCAATCTAATTCTTGAAAAAATGAAATAAAATTTCGCGTTTACATCCTTCCAGAAACAACGTTGGAAATGAAAAAAATGATGCCAAATTTAGCTCTCCCATTGCGAGATCCTGAAAAACTGTTAGCGCACTGTTGAAGCCAAATTGATTGCCTACCATATATCCAGCTTGACCACTGAGTTTCTTGTTAAGAACCTGTAGGGAGCGAGGCAAATTAAACCCTAAAAAGTAGGAGCCTTGTTCGATTTGTTTACATGAGTTTATGTCTTTGATCTTTATAGCCCTATAAAAATTCAATAAATTTGTTTCGGCTTTTTCCCTCTGTGGGATTTCTTTATCATAAGGGTTGATATGTTCCAAAGCGTCTCTCGCTGTTTCTTCTTTAAACACACCTCGTCGCTATTGAAAACAACCCTCCCTTCGTAACAGGAAAAAGAGATTTTTGTTTCTTAAACCACCACGGAAAAAAGTATATTGTGTACATATTTCAATATAGGTACCTCTGAAGAATGATATCCACGTGTCGTTTCCGCATTGCAGTCCAACTTGTTCTGTACCAGGTGATCCACGAAATATCCGCACAACAATGCAATGGCGAATATTCCATCCACGGCATGATGCTTAAGCAGCACATTTATAAGACGATGAAGACTTCAATCTCACTTGACTGTCTTCAGGCTTGTAATGATGATGTCAAATGTCAAAGCTTCAATTACGTCATTTCCAAAGACGTGTGTGAGTTGAATAACCGCACCAAGGAAGCTAGACCTGAGGATTATGTCCCTGACTCAGACAGATTCTACTACGGACGAGTTAGAAAAAGAGGTAAGATGTCATTAGAGTTTCTCACATTGTAGCAAAAAATAAAATAAAATAAAATAAAAACACACACATAACAACAACAACAAAAAAAACAAACAAACAAACAAACAAAGGGAAGTGAAGCCGGAAGTGACCTCGTGCGGGTTACAATAGGCCATATTCAATATGTCAATGTTCTAACATGGCTCTGAAGCTTTCAGGACAAACTTCTATATTTGGTGTGGTTTCCTTTGTATCCAAGTCTCTTTTGGGAATTGTGAGACAAGAAGCCAACGAGCCATGTTAGAATATTGACATATCGAACGTGGCCTGTTGCTTTCTTTTGGAAGGCTATTCTATCATTAATTTGGTCCGGAATTGTCGCAAATTAGAAAGAGAGGCAAGATGTCATCAGAATTTCTGACATGGTAACAACAACAACAACAACAACAAAGAGAACTGACAGCCGGCGGCTTGACTCTGTTGCAATTGCTCTCTATTGGAAGGCTGTTGCCATTATTTTGGTCCAGAATGGTTGAATTGGGCCCCGTGTACCTCCACATGCACTGTATACGGTTTCTTGTTTTCAAAAAACATCATAAATATTGTATGTCCATTCGATTTTATTTCGTTTTTATGCTTCTATTTTACATAATTTATCTCCAAGTCCCTCTTGCCTCCATTCCTGAGCTTCCCGCTGAATCATGCAGAGAGATCAAGGCGAGTGAAGGAAGACAAGCAGTCAGCGGCAATTATTGGTTTGATTCTATTATACCTGGGAATGTGATTCTCGCTCACTGCGACATGGAAACAGAAGGTGATACCCCTTATTTGATTCAGTTTCTTTTTCAATGTGTTAAGTAATTTTTTTCGCAGCAATATGAAATTATGGAACGGAATGATGTTCTTGTTTTTGTTTCAATTTTTGTTGTTCTTGTTTTTGTTGATGTAAGTGGCAAATACTGATTGATTCTCGATTCTACCTGGGAGAGTGATTCATGCTCACTGCGGCATGATGAAACAAGTTAAAGGAGATAAATTCACTATTACTTAATGAAGAAAGTTTTAGTGTACTTTATTTCATCACTAGCTAGTTTTTTTTTTTTCGTCCAAACACCCCGTCCATTGCAGATCAATTACTCTGATCACCTCAGTCTTATAATTTGGCCCCGGGCCTGCGGGTTCGTCAAATAATTGTTCTGCCCGCCCCTGATAAAGCACGATATTTTGCTCAACCTCGTCCAATAATTTTTAATTGTTTGATGTGTAGCTTTTGGACTAAAATGTCCATATTTTAGTCATCACAGATATCGACGAATGTGTCACCGACGCTCACGACTGTCTCAAAGATTTAGCTGACTGTTCAAATACGTTGGGATCTTACACTTGTGCCTGTAAACATGGTTACTATGGAGACGGAAAGGCAAGTTGCCTCCCTCTGCCAGCAGGTGGGTTTAATTTTGATAAGTTTGCTCCTGATCATAAAATTTTGGTTGTAATAGCTATTAAATGACAGACGGGATGTGGTTGTTTGCTAGTTGGTAAAGCATCCAAAAAAAAACAAAACAAAACAAAAACAGTAGTTTTATGATATGAGTTCAACATCCCTGACACCGTGTGTACACCTTTTTCTTGCATGTGATATATCAAGCACGAAAGACCACATTTCCAAAAACCGAGAAGAGAGTCAAAAATATGATGAGTAGCGGAGTATTTTTGACGAACTTCGAGGTGTTTGGAAATGTGGTCAAACATTATCTTGAAACTATTTTCTCAATCGAAACTAAAACGAAGGAGAAAATGGAGAATGAATCTGTGCTAATTAAGATCAGAGATCCAAACACCGTCACGGTTATGGTTTCCTTTATTAAAACTTGACGAATGATATTAAGGAGTTTTAGAATGCCATAGCTTTGTTAAGAGTTACCGGTTTAGGACCGGAAAGGTGTCCCAGCACCCTTTGCGGAACCAGAAAACCGAAAAATGCCCAGTCTGAAAACGATGAATTAAGACCTTCCTTGCTGTGAATGCGAATGTCGACTAACCATAAATTTCAACGTTTAATCTGCTTGTACGCGAGGCGCCGTGAGACAAACTCGCAGTTCCAGTTACACCGATGGGCCTTCGTAAGGCCCACGTAAAAGTCAACTTAACTGCTGTACAAACCGTGAAAACTGATTGACCTTTGTGAAGTCAGACCCCAGGTTAGGATATCGGTGGGCCTCGGGGTCTTTACTGGAAGGGCCACCTATGCGCATGCTCGAGACTAAAATACAATATCATGAAAACATGAAGCCCATGGAGACATGAAGCCCAGCAGTAGCACTTATTATTTGCATAACTTGTTAACGATTAACCTTCAAATGACCTACATCTTCCATTTTTAGAATGCCTAAGCTACTCAGAACTGATCAATGCAGAACGAAGGGTCACAGCTTCCATAGATGCCAAGCTGTGTGATACTCATTCGCTAGTTCCTGGCTGGTTTCGTTTCCAAGAAGATTCGGGTACCAGAATGCCAACTACTTGCCCAGAAATACACAGCTGTGGTACTGATGCCCCAGGCTGGTTGGATGGCGTTCATCCCACAATGGCTGAGGGTCAAGTCACCAGACAGGTGTGCTTTCACTGGGATAACAGCTGTTGCCGATGGTCCGTGAACATTCAAGTCAGGAATTGTCATTCTTATTATGTGTACTACTTAAGTCAGACACCGACCTGTCATTTAGTCTATTGTGGCACCGACTAAGATCCTTTTCATAACCTCGTTCTCGAGGTCCTTCTTCTTGGTAGCAAGAAGAGAGACCTGTCATTTAGTCTATTGTGGTACCGACTAAAATCCTTCTCTTTATAAAACCCGTTCCCAGTTTCTCTCTTCTTGGCGGGAAGAAGAGCGAGAGAACCTGTGAACGAGATTTACCTTTCTAGTCGCTGAAGAAAATGTAAAATAAAATATAAAAAATACCACACGACGTTTGGCTACGGTTATTTATATGAGCTTCTCGTGAGAGCCAAAAAAAGTATTTGTAAAAAAAAACAGGCACACTTGGCGACTTGTTTAGAAATATAACAGCACTGTTTAGCTACCTTCTATCTCTGTTTACCTATCATTTATGTCCATTTATGGATGAGCAAAAGAAATGAAAGCATTCGCTTTGAAAACACTGACTCTTCAGCTCCACCTTTTGTAACAAGCATAGAGAGTACCACGCATGCGTCTGAGTAGGCTGTCCAACGAATCTACACTTTTTTATATAAGAATATTGTTTTTCCCGCCGAGGCTGAATATTCTTATTTTTCTACTGATTTTCGGCTGAAAATATTCATGTGAATATTCTTAGATTATAGCGTGTGGCATTTCTGTTTTCGAATGTATTTGGTGTCTGGATGGTGTTGAAGTACGTTTTGGAGCCTGCCTGCAGGCATAAAAACCTGATATGACGCACATATAATTTAGCTTCTTGCAGAAATGTTATTAGGATCGAACATACGGCTAGTGCTGTTTGTGTTGCTCTTAGGCTTGTTTTGCCGTTTAGAGAAAGAAAGGATGTTATACGGTTTAGTGAAAAACATATAATTGTATTGTATTTACCAATTTTTCAGACACAAAATTATATTCTTTTCAAAATGTCAGCCTCGGGTTTATTTTCTAAATATTCATAAAATTTTTATAAAACATATTCATATATAAAAGAAAGAGTGTATTCTAATTTAAATCACACTCAAGCTATAGTCTCCAAACAACGATGCTTCTCCTAAAAATTATCAGGGTCAATTTTAAAGCGCCAATTAGTTGGTTATTTGGCTTGGTCGGTTTCTAAGGCAGTCAAGTTAAGTGTTAAACCATAAATGAGGCATTTCCTATATGCTTAAATATACTTTGTTTTTAATGTTTTTAAATTGCTTTTCGAACTATTCTGATTTTGTTTAAAAAAATCTTTAAAATCCAAGATGGTTTTACCAAGCAAGATGGTGGAAATTTGGAATTTTACGTGTAATTTTTGGCTAGTGATGATTAAGTGATGTTGTTAAAGTAGACAAGTTCGGATGCTTTACACACCATACAAGTTTGATTACTATAGAGTAGAGACTTCTGGAAATAAATGCATGGAAAGTAGGGGTTGGGGGTGGGAGGCAGAAAGACCCCAACCATTATTAGCACCCGTCACTCTTAGAGACTATGGAGTTGCGTTCTACTAAGTGGTTCTGGTTTTGCGGTGGGTGTGGCTGAAAAAACCAATGCGGAAATGACATTTTGACACCACCCTTTGTCAGCAAGTTAGCAAGGTAACATGTTAGCATGTTAGAATGCTAACATGTTAGCATGTTGGCATGCTAGTAGGCTAACATGCTAGGATATGTTAGCATATGTTAAGATGTTACCATGCTAATATGTTAGCATGATAGCATGCAAACTGGTTAGCATGTTAGCATGTTAGCATGTTGATAGGCTAGTATGTTTGCATGGCAGCATGCTAATATGTTAGCGCACGTTAGCATGATAGAAAGCTAACATG